ATGAGGAAACTTTTATTTAAATAGCTTAAATGATTTCATGAAGGTCATATAATCAGTTAGTGGTGGAGTTAAGACTATTATTCAGATCTTTTGACAGATTCTATGCGCACTCAGCCAACACACTTCCCTGCCTCCCTGCCATTTAAATGCACTTACAGCCCAGGGGTAGCATCTAGAATTATAATGCATCATACTTTGGACTAACCACAAATGATCATAACGGTCTTTTAGAATTTATTCTCGTGAAAATTGTAAGGGTTTGAAGCGGTTTTTTTTTTTTCTTCGTTACAACTGATGGATACATTAATCCCCGTTGATAAATTGTACTTTCATATTTCTTTTTGAACTAATTCTTCTTGCCTTCTGCCTTGCTTCAATTCAAGTGCTGATAGAAACAACATACACAGACTGTAGCATGTTGGCTTGTTATGGATAGAGAAACAGTGATTATGGAGATGGCTAAAATGAATGGATTAGCTTTACTAAAAGCTGGTTTGCTCATTGCAGTGAGTAGATACATCCTTTATGTTACATCAGAAGTTGTATCATTATATGTTATATCAATTTTGGAGGACTTTGTATGTGCATAGACAACACTGTGGGCATGTATTTTATTTTTGTACTTGCCACGATCCTGACAGGAATAAGAGCACTTGAAAAAAGAGTGACTGTAGAGAGTTTAATGAAGGGACTATTTGCCAAGGCATAAAGGATAGGATATGGGTTTTTGGAGTTAGTAGTGGCTGGGAATGCTTACCACTTCTACGCTTGAAAGAAAAGGAGGGTAGGCACCTGGACCTATGGCAAGGGTGCCTGACAAGACCTGCAGCCTTTAGTAGAAAGCCCAACAGGGAAGTGGCCAGGGAAACATATACCCTAACTTCCCTCCTTAAGCACCTCTACTTTTTTTTTAATTTAAATTCAATTAGCCAACATATAGTACATCATTAGATTTGATATAATGTGCAATGATTCATTAGTTGCGTATAACACCCAGTGCTCATCACATTTTCTTACGCACTTCTAACTCAAGAGGAAACCAGACGAGAAAGGAAGGGTCAGGGTGGCCTTTAGAAGTCAGCTTCCAGGGGGCGCCTGGGTGGCTCAGTTGGTTGGGCGTCTGCCTTCGGCTCAGGTCATGATCCCGGGGTCCTGGGATCGAGCCCCGCATCGGGCTCCCTGCTCCGCGGGGAGCCTGCTTCTCCCTCTCCCACTCCCCCTGCTTGTGTGTGTTCTCTCGCTCTCTCTCTAATAAACAAATAAAATCTTTAAAAAAAAGACTAGCAAATCTAGCATTAAAAAAAAAAAAAAAAAGAAGTCAGCTTCCAGAGGTACAGAACAAGAAGGAGAAGAATGGAGGATGCACGTGGAGAAGCAGGTAGAGGACACCCAACACAGAACTACAACTGCCCTTCTGTGATATTCTCTCATAAACAAAATGATGTTCCACTAGAAGTTCTCTGTCACCACACTTCCTTTTGGGATATATTTAGAAAGCATACTTAATAAAAAGTTGACCTTTTAACTGGTAAAGCATAAAATTCACAATCAATATGCGATATGCAATTTACACAGGAAATGCTTCTTACTCATCCATATACCATGTTAGCAGTTTGAGCTTTTTTGGATTGACTGGCAAAAATAATACAATATCATCTCGCAAGTGGCTCGAATTGTAATATGCTGCATTTTCTCTTATTTTTGGCCCTCAGCTATAATATTATTTCAAAATTTGATCTTGATTCATTTTTATCACATTAACTGGTTTATTTGCAAAATTATATTTTGAAAGGATTTAGTCTGTCTTTTCGAATTACTCAGCTTAAAAATCTATTTTAAAAACTAGATAGCAATTCTAAAAACTAAAGTGTGAAAGAAGACCCAAATTATTACCCAGCAATAAACTAACAGAGATTTAGATTCTAAAATGCTACATTTTCGACTCATTTTGAGTTTTCACCTAATACAAAATAAACAGAACTCACTGCTGATACTTTTCATTTTTAAGGAAATGGTAATCTACCCATTCGCTCTTCTTTATTGATCTGGCATAATTTCATCTATGCTTCGATATTTTTGTTAAAATTAAGTTAGCAATGAAATGACGAGACTTGTGATTTTTCCCCACCTTTTCTTCTTCTTTGTAATGGTCAATATCATCAAAGGGGAAATCTTAGCTCTATAGTTTTCATGCTCTTTTGATTATCAGAAAAGCTTTTGCAAAGACTAACTTAGCATCAACACTGGGGTACAACTAAATGTATAGTATGTCAATATGTTTAGGTGCAAAGAAAAATAAAACAGGGCGAAATTCCAATTTTAACTGAGAGAATGATTATCATAGAACTTTGAAATTGGCTTTTTGGGAATGGCATTAACATTCAGTAATAAATGATAATAGCATCTCTCATTTATTCTATTCTGTGATAAAAGGAAACCATGCATTAAGGTAGCTTGGAGTTAAAAATGACAAGATATCCTGTTCTTTCCTTTTTTGAAAATTCCCTTTCATGACTTTTTTCTAAAGACAAGGTCAGAAAAAAAGACAAATTTAACTGTAGATGACTATGATCATGGAATGATTAAATTTGGTCTTTCTTAAAATAGATTTTGTAAACTGAGAACTACAAGGTTTGTCTGCTAAGAAAAAGCAACTCAAACCCATTCACTCACCAGGCATTGAAGAGAATATTACTTATTCTTACACTGACAACACACAGTATCGTAGATTTCTTACAGTGATAATCCACATATTCATTTATTCACTAAGTAGTATGGACAGGAAAATAGTAATAATTCAGTCTTTAAAATACGTGGCAAAACAGTTAAAATATTTGGGGAAAATGTATCTGTTATTAAGTATATAAGTACCATAGAGTTAAATAAACGAACCTTATAGCTGTACCTTACTCATTTTGCTATTTCCAGTGCCTTGCACAGAATAGATGCTCAGCAACAAACATTTCTCTGCTCTTTAATTTATTTGCAAGTTAAGTTTTCATTACAAATGGAGGGTACACAATCTTGCCGAACACAATTTATTAAACTATTTCAATGCACTATTAGTATTTTGAATTTTACAGTATGTCAAAAACAGATGATTTTTGTTCCATGAATTAACAGGTTTTTTAGGACAATATGAGAAGCCATTTTCTCATTTATTTACATTTCCAGGCTTCTCTCATCAATCACTGGAAATGCCTGTAGACAGGGGTGTACAGGTTGACGTGTGGGTTGCTAGTCAATAGAAGAAAGTTTCTTCTGGAGCTGAGGTAGATCCAAGTATCTACTTTAAAAAATGTCCTCAAGGGAAGCATTATACAGCTAATATTTCATGAGAACTATACTCTTAGAATACCACTTCAAAAGATTTTTAGTAGAATAGAAAATTTTGAGTCTGGAAAACTATTTTGAGAACTAGAAAATGTTGGGTGTTGTGCTCTTTATTGACCCAACCCCCACCTCCAATGATAACATTGTGATTCGTGGCAGAGAGCAAGACAGGAATTAGATCACCATTCATTATTTCTCATTTCAACCTGAAGACCACAGACTTGCTCCCTCTCTCTCTCTCTTTTTTTTTTCCTTTTTCTCCGTCTCTTTTCTTTCTCCACCATTTACCTTTCTGCCTTACTTTTCTGCTTCTGCTTTCTCAGACAGCCCACCAGAAACCTCACAGGAAGAGGAGCAAAGTCTACATCGTCCACATTAGTGTCCTACATGGTGACAAGTCATATTAATGAAAAAAGATCACACATCTTCCGTAAGTGCCTAGGCAATGTGACAGTAACTGAGCCCTGCCCAGAAAGCCCACTCCACTTCTGGTATGAGCTTCCAACAAGCCTCGGTGGTGAATGACAAGTTAACCCCTTTGGAACCCCACCATTTTCAACACTCAGAGGACCTCTCTCATTAGTCTTATAAAATAAAGTACGAAATTCCAACATCAAATCTCATGCTGTTAAATTAACAACATCACACGCTACATACGACTTAAATATCTCCCATAACTTTATGACTGGAAAAACACTGTTCAGATTTCATTTACCAGTTTAAAAATAGCAAACTCTAATTTGAAACACATACACACACATCATGCACACTCACTAATATTCCCTCTTAGTGCTAGGCAAATGTTCCTTCCTATAAACATAAATAAAATTCAGTACAATCATAAATTTTAAAAGTCAGATTTGTCAAAAGATGATGTTTGTTATGAAACAAGTCAAGAAGAAAATATTTCTTAGAGCCAAAATGACAAGCCACAATCTGTTGGCATAACAATGGCTATTCATCTATTTTTAATGTACAAATCAAAATTACTCCCTGTTAATTTTGACTTGAAGATAGTCCATAGATTATTATATCCCTGACCAATGAAATTTCTTCCTCTTGGGTGGGTGAGTGCTGAGCAAGGCAAATAACAGATTTCAAACATCTGCAAATGGTGTGATAATTATTTTTTTAAGAAACCACAGAAATCTTCCAACTTCGTCACTTTGTAGATCCAGACATGAACTAAGAAAGAAAATTAGAAAAGATGCCCAGAGACCACTTTAAGTTCACAGAAAGTCCAAAATAATATCACTGTGCTCCTAAACAAGGAGCGGTTGCTCTTTGTAGACAGCAGAAACACTCATAATACACAAGGCACTCCAATTAAGTTTCGATAGAAGTTACGTCACGTTTCAACTCACCGCTGGATGTATGGGTCAGGACAGTACTGTAGGGTAGCACACCGTGAAGTTTCACAATTCATTTCCTTCAACTCTCTTTGATAATCAACAAATGGAGAACTCTTATAGAACCTATACACATGTACCTGTGTATATATAGATAATAAAGCCAGGAGGCTAAAAGCAATAGGGTCAAATGCTATCAGACATAGAAGTTTAGACACTTCCCCCTTCACACACATTTGCAAAGAGGCGGAGCGTTTCTCGATTTTAGCCAATGAGATTCGTCAAGTGACTCAAACATCAGAAACAGTTGATTCTTACCAGCTGGGCATCCTCTCTAAAATTGTTCTTCCCCCTCTACCACGGCTTTAGAGTCCTGGAGGCATAGTGGCCACACTTGTGGGCAACTTGGAGGCATCTCTGAACTCTGGTCTCTCTGGTGATTGGATGCTGGCATGAATGGCATCAGAGTTTAATTTCAGCAGACTGGACTTTTGTAACAGAACTGAGCTGCTGAGTGTCCATCCTGCTCCAGCTAATTAACGTTTCCTTGTATCTGCATACTGATTTGATTTGAGGACTTCTGTAACTGCTTCTGGAGCTTTTTTTTTTTTTTTTTTTTTTTTAGCAGAGCTGCTTAGGAAGGTTGTTTTTTTTTTCATCTCCCCCTCCCTTCCCCCCATTCTCCCTTTCAGCCAACCGCCTGTTGTGGTCACAATCTCAAATAGCAAAGACAGGGAAATTCCTTGATTATATTTAACCTAGAACTCACTCTTCGTCTCAACTAAGAAAAAGTGGTATCCATTCACATCCCTTAGAAGTTTTTCCTGCCCCAAATAGAAGAATATAACCTTTTATCGGGTTGTGTTTCATTTTTAAATATCCTGCCTCAAACACACACACACAAGATTTTCTTAAAGTGATACTACTATATTATTTCAGACTATTTTGAAGCTTACAAAATTATTTTAAATTGCCTGTTACTGAAAACATTCTGGTTTATTTCAGTCTCTATAGGTCTGTCTCACTTTCTTATTATGTTTATTGTTTTCGCTGGTTTTGGTTTTGCTTTGGCTTGACCTACTTTAGAGTAAAATCATTAAATTCTTTATATATCCAAAAATGAGTATAATATCAGAAAAGTCTACATACAGAATCATTTACTTCCTTTCTGAATACGGGCTGTAAACCTATCCTGGTTTTGTGGATTTAGAAATTGAATGAAATATGATTCAGAAGCTAAATTAAAATAGACTCCAGCAGAAAAAAAAAAAAAAGTTTGTGTGCCCAAGCGTCACTAACATGACAAGTTCACATCCTCCACTCACTCCCTAATCACAGGTCACCTGCAAACAGGTAACATTAATAGTAGCCAAAGTTGTGAGACAATCAAAAGTCCTTTTCAGAGAAATTTGACATTTCCTTAAAAGAAATTCTCGTTTTCAAAATGTGTTTCATAAAAATATTTCATTTGTTGCTTCAGCCAGGATAGAAGGGAGAAGCTATTTAAAACTTGACATTCTCTTCCCTTACTTAGCAGGAGAGTGTCTAACATCTGTGAATTGTGAAATTCATAAACATGCTGGCCTGAGCCCCAGCCAAATCAAACAGCTTGTTCTACAAAATGTGAAACTTGAAGGGAAGATCATTTTACCAATTAATTAAAGATCTGTTAATTGGAGTTAGAGTGTTTGGCTTGGAATACAGGTGACCGGAATATACAAAGTGACCTGCTATTGGAATACAGGTGACCGGAATATACAAAGTTCTTAAATTGAAAATACTCAATTTCCTTTGACCATTGCCAAGTTGTTCCATCACACAGGGCCTTGTTTTTCCCATTTATAAAATGAGAGGTGAAATAACGATCTCTGGTTCAGTGCTTCTCAAATGTTAATGCATCTGTGAGTCACCTAGATATCTTGTTAACACGTCTTCTGGTTCAGTAGGTCTGTGGCAAGGCCTGAGACTCTGTATTTCTAAAAAGCTCCCACGTGATGCTGATGCTGCCGGTCCTTGCGTCACATTTGGAATAGCAAGACCTGGTGCTCTTTTCAGGCCTGATACTTATTTACTTCTAGGAAATAAGCAGAACTTGTCTACATATTTTAAATTACCAGGAGAGGCCCTAGACCCCCAAATAAGTTATCAATTTGCCAACATTTCTAGCATGTTTTTAATTTCAAAATGTTTACAGCCTAATTTATAGAAAAGAACATTTAAAATGCATGCCTTGACATCAGTAGCTGTTGTAAAAAAAAATCCTAAATTTACTTAGCTAAGGACAGATATTAAATGGCAAAAAAATTTACATAAATAATCATGAAAAATAATGGGTCTTATTGCATTGCAGAAATAAATGCAGAAAGATACCTTGACCAAGGGCAAAAAGGGCAAACTCTCTAAGATTTGACAGGACACCAGAAGCACACAACCATCTAAAACCTGGGAAAATAAGTGACAATTATACTATAATTACCATAATGGCCACTTGTATTAATATTACAACTGTCTCCCCTACCCCCCCAGAGTCTCAGGTTACAAATACATAAGTTATTTCTTTGGTGTGCAAGTTACATGCTTTTCCAGCAACTTAAGTCTCTTAGGCAAAGACTATAATAGAATGAGGTACACAGAAGCCTAGGAAAAGACAATTGCCTTTCTGACCAAGACCTACAAGTTTGAATGATGTTGTTTGTGATGACTTTTGATATGCATGAAAAGGAAGAGAAAGATAAAGACTTGAGGGAAACAGCAGCATTTATGACCTGAAATTCTGGACATAACACAAGAGAAAGAGACACTTTCTCCTACCCAGCTCCTAGCGTCTGAGAGTGTGCACTCTGCCAAACTCAGGTATTTAAAACACATACCTTTCTCAGTTATGTCCATGTGAATTATTTCACTACAGCTCTTCTTTATGCATGCCATCCACTGGTTACATACTTTCCTGGTTGCTCTCCTGCCCTGGATCATATTTTGTGCCCCCTCCAGAATGTATCCACAGCTCGAAAATCCTTCAGAGAACAGGAAGCCTTTCTCATCCCTCCAGGTCAAAGGAAGCTCCCCCACCTCTACTGTCCTGACTCATATCTGTACTTATACTGCTACTTCCTTTGTGGATGTGACCAATTTTTGCATAAGCCCCATCTTCTGTACTGGACTGTGAACAGTTTGAGGGTGAGTTTGCTAGTTGATTTGTTTCTGCATCCCCAGGGACAAGCAAAATACAGTTCAGTGGCTGAATAACATGTTTATATCATTGCAAAAATCATCTAATCGTAAGTACAAGTGATTAAAAAAGAACTTCCATAAAACACTTGACTTTTAGAATCAACTTTACTGATGTGTAATTTACATACAATGAAATTTACTAATTCTAAGTGTTCAGTTTGAGGAGTTTTGACACATTACATACCATGTAGCCTCTACCACAACCAAATATAGAATATTCCATTACCCCAAAAGTCCCCTCATGCCCCTTTGTGGTTAATTCTCTTACCACCGACTCTGGACAATCACTCTCTTGCTTTTTGTCATTATATACTAGATATCTATTTTCTAGAACAGCATTACCCAACAGAATTTTCTCTGATGAAGGAAATATTCTATATTTGCACTGTCCAACATGGTAGCCACTAGTCACATGTAACTAATGTGATTGGCGAAATAGATCTTTGTTTTTATTTTCAGTGAATTTTAATCAACTTAAACTTAAATAGTCACATTTGGCTAGTGGCTACCATGTTGGACAGTGCAAATATAGAATATCACATACATAAAGGCACACAGTATGCATGTATTCTTTTGTGTCTAGGTTCTTTTCCTTGGCACACGGTTTTTGATATATACCTATGTTGTTACATATGAATAACTGGTTCTTTTTTATGGTTGTTGAACATGTGGATTCTTCCCCCCCCTTTTTTTTTCTTCTTTTTGTTATTAAGGACAGATTCTGGTCTCCGATACTCAATTATGGCCAGAAGTAAAAGTCCAATAGGCCTTTAAAGAGCTCAATAATAATACGTCCTACTGGGTACCTTAGCAATGTGGAATAGCTCGTTTTTTCCAAGGTTGCTAAATCTCTAGAGGAGACAGCAGATATGTAAAGAAACTAGCTAACCTGGATTTCGTCTGGTCTCTGGTGCCAACTTAATCCCTGACCTTAGGCAAGCAGCGTACTTTGAGCCTTAGTTCTTGATCTTTAAGAGGAAGGATGCATCAAAGAAGATTCTTTTGTTATAAGCAATAGAAACTCACTCTGGCTAAATGAAAATATGTTATTTTAAAAAACATGAAAATTCACAGAGTGGAAGAGAAAGTTGAAAAATGAGGTTCAGGAAAAGGTCAGAAGCAGGATAGCTTCAGGGTTCTAAGTAATAGGAATGAATAGAGTCACTTCATTATGCCACAGCAGGAATAAATCAGACCTAACAGGTTTTTCTGAACTTGAGTCATTTAGCTTAAGATTCAAATTCTTAGAAGGAAGATGCCATGTTTGGCCAGGAGAAGTCTGAACACACTGATTGATGGCCCCACCAAGACTGGGGCAAAGAGAGTTTCCAAAAGAAAATTGAGTTTCTATTACCAAGGAAAGGGCAATAGGTACAGGACAATTGAAAACAACAGATGCTTCATGAGGGGCTTAAAGTGGATGATCTCGCACATTCCTTAGAGCTCTGGCTGGCTGTGGCTGTGGGATTGGAGAAGCTAAATGTCTTTCTTTTGGGTAACTAAACCTCAGGTCCTGTCCTCTCCAAGCCATCCTGGCTGGTGCCTCTTTTATAATATGGGAATCAGGAGAGAACCTTTTAGCATACAAGGTGATAGAGTAAACTCATCAAGTGTTGGTCACATTGAAGGGACTGAGGAGTGTGGTGATTTTTAGTCTTACAACACTCTGTAGTACATGACTTCGGATTAACCCCCACAATCTCTATTTTAGAGGAAACCAAGTTCTGCTTTGGGGAGGATTCTACTAACCCTTCCAACTTTGTGCTCTATGAATCTAATATTTGCTAAAGTCGGTCATCTAGGAGAAGTAAAGCAGGACCTAGAACTTAAGTGTGCTGGATTAAGGTCAAATGCTTTTTTTATATCAGTGAAAAAGCAGATGCATTGCAAGCTTAGCAATGTGCCTCCTCTTATTTGACCTCCACCTTTTAGAGGTCACTGGAATTCATCGAATAGAAAAAATGCATAGGTAAGCTAGTATCTCAGAATCTACTGAGAAGAAGTAAGATGCTTCAGGGGGTTGTCTGGGAAAAGGGAAACCTCTCTATTCAGAGGCCATGCAAGGAAACACAGAGGCCAATTTGGGAGGGAGGAGGTTGGCAGTTTCCCTGACAGACAAACCTGATACCCTCCAAGTCACACCCAGTGTCCAAAAGCAA